AACTAGACTACAGTAATTCTGCAGCGGGACTGCATTTAAGAGTGTTTTCTTATAGAGGATGTTCTTGTGGCAAATTTATCTTGACAAAAATCCACATAACTGAAGGGAGTTCTTATGCTGCCATTAACCAAGGAAAATTCAATCTGAACCACAGACTGAAAAGGAAAATGACACCATGTTTCAAGGCAAGCATAGTGGACACCATAACACCAAGGTGCAAAACTGTGTGGTGTACAGAAAAGTATTGAAGGAATGTAGCATTGCTGCTTCTCATAATTAGAACACTTTTCCCCACAGGTTTTCAAGAAACTGGTTAAGATAGGAAAAATCTTGTTTACCTTAAACCCACAAAAGAACTCCTTCCTTCACTAAGAGATTGTTAACTTTTATGTCCAAATAAAAAGTTAGAACTGTCCTTCACTTTAAGAATTAAGTGCTAAATTAACAACAAAAAATTAGCTGAATGATCAGACATTCATCTCTTTCTTGAAGTTCTAGGTCTTCTTTAGTATTGTCAACACAAATAATTTTTAATTTCTTAATTCCCTCAGCATTTGAGTCAGTCTATTTTGTCAGGACGAAGTTCACTCCCAATATTAATCCTTTCACATAATTTTGTTTGTATTATCTTCACCAGTGTCTAGCAGCAGTGGGATCCTTCAGGAACAGGAAATTTAACCAGTTTCAAAACTGGGCCACTCAATTTCTCTGTACATAATCTATTGCCAGTGTCAAGATCAATCAGAAGTGCCTACCTTCTAAGAAGGCTCAAAGTTTTGGGGTTTTATTCCTCAGATATGAAAACCATGAATTTCCTATATGAAGAGAGTTTTTAAAACAGTTTAAAAGTCACTTCAATGAAAATGGAGCCTCTAGGAATGATGAGACTTCTTCTTAAACTGGTATGCTAACATGTTTTTCCAAGCATGTGATGCCATTTACTTAGCTGAAAATGTTACACTTACTAATGGCTAAAGATCACTTAGACTTTTAAATCACGTGTGATTTAAAAGAAGGAAGTTGGAAGTAATTTCTATTGAAGAGTGTCTTTGGATGTGTATTTTGAGTCCCCATATGAGAGGGGTTTTTTTTGGGGTAACAATAATGAAAGTTTAAACCCAAACTCAGTTGTCTATTCACCACTGACTTGAAGTTCAGCCCTCTAACTTCACATGCTCATTCTTCTCAACAACCTTACTCAATATTTGAGAGAAAAGAGAGTAACATTTACTCTACCTTTTGGAGTTCTTTTATTTGCTAAGGTCCTCCTTGAGTTACCATATCTATCCATCCATCCATCCATATGGGCATAATCCATATAATGAGATATAATCAGATAAAATAGACTGTACATACCAAATTCAGAATATCTGCACCCCACTCATATTCTCCCCAGCTGCATGAGAGGAGACAAAATTCCCAGTTGTTTTGACACACACTTTTTCAGAAATTAAGTTTATGGCCATTAATCACCTCTGATTGCTGTAACAGGGTCATTTTGAATGTGAAGATGTCTTTGCAAGTTCATAAATTTTCTTGATAATTTTATGCCTGTGGCTTGTGTATCGTAATTCTGACAATTCATGCAGACAGCATTATGTCATAAATTACCACATTAGCTTGGCATGAGTCTCAGTACACATGAACATTGCTTCTATTATTTAAATGTGTAACATATTTGAAGCACAGGATTCAATATCCAAAATAAAGGAACACTTAGAAAAAACCCTAACACTTAGATGAGGAACAAGGACTGGATTTTTCATAATGATTTGGGACGCAACTCTAATTGAAAGAGAAAAAATCCATGATACCCTACACTTTGAAGAATTCTTGAAAGCCCAGTTTAAGAAAAAAAAAAGTTGCAAATCAAGCATTAGATTATAATACTTTATGTGAGATTTCTAATGACACAGAAATATTTCACTTAATATTCTGCTTGTATAATGAGTCTGAGGAAAAAACAAGTAAACAGTAACTTTTACTTTAAAATTAACCCAGATGGAGAACTCTCCATGACAAAATCTATAATGTTTAAGATGAAATCTATCTAATATGAACTATTAATATTTTGTTGTAAAACCATTAGGCTTGATTATAAAATCAGAAACCAGATGATATGAAAAATATTATGAGCATACCCCACTGTTATTGAATGTAATAAGTTCTCAGGCTTTTACACTTGCACACACTTATATTTTTAAATCTAAGTAGCTCCACTGAAATTAATCATATATATCAAATAAAATTAAACTTATTTATAAAAATTATACATCAAATCAAATAATGTTAAACACCAAGTCCTTAGCAAATAAAAAACCTTCTCTAACAAAACCAGCCCGTTTGATACAAAGTGACTGCATTTTTTTATAGAATGGGCTGCAGCTTAATCATTTCAATCTTTAATTACTGCATCAGATAATGACTATTTTGAACATATGCTTCTCTGCCCTGCTAGAAGACATGAATGAGAGAGAAACAAGTTCATATGCATGATCCTGAGTGTGCATGTTGGGGGAGGGAGGCTAAAGAGCAAAAGGAACCAAGTGGCAACAATTGGAGGAAATGGTGCCTGTAACAGCTGCTCCTTTCAGATTCCCCTAGAAGGAGACTGCCTGAGGTGGACCACAGCACAAAGGGATAAAGAAGATGAAAACTGATGCAAAGCAGGGAAATAACTGCTGAGACCCCTGAGTCTACATCCGAATAGTCCCAAGCTGTGTGGCAAGACCTCTTTAGCATGCTACAGAAGCTGGTGATGAACTACATATTACCATGAGGCAAACTGGCTCCTAGCAGTATTGTCTGCATGTTATGTGTAATGATAACCAGTGGGCCCCTGGGAACAGGAGGCAATGATTTCATCTCCGTAAGCATCTGAGCTCCCCTTGGATACAGAGACCATTAAACTGAGAACAGAAGGGGAAATTTTAGGCAAGGATTTCCAACTGAAGAGTGAAGACAAGTTCTGCTCCACAGTACTGTCAACCACGGATATTTTACTGCTGTCTATATTGATCACTGCAAAGGACAAAAGGAACTAAAACTGTACCCCTTTTTCTTCATCCCAGAGAACACAGTGTATTTTGTTAACAAAAGTACTTTAAAAGTTTTCATGTAATATTATTGACAATACCATTATATTAGAAAATGCTACTGTATTATTACCACTGAAAAGTATTGGTATTTCCATTACTGTTAAAATAACATTTTATATTTTTAACATAATGTAGAACTTGTTTTGGATACAGAGACCTTCCTGCCCTTGCACATTGCTTTCCTTAACTGTCAGGTGTTTTTGTAGGACTGAAAACATTAGGTACTACCTATTGGTTACATATTTAAAATGAGTACAATAAAAAAATCAGGGTTTCAGAAGCTTCCTTAAAAAAAAATCTGCATGCAACAAAAAGAAATGCAATTTCCTAACAATTGCTGTAACTTTTTGACAAGAGACATGGAGGAGCAATGAAGGGAAGGGAATAGCTACAAAATGTAGTCAAAACTGATTCTGAGGAAACAATGCCAAGACAACTAATATTTTTAACATTTTCAAGGGTAGTTTGATCCTTTATATATTCTGGAGAGATTAAGAGGCAGGCTTCTTCATTTAGCACATTTGTTTATCTTGCTGCTCTTCAGAATTCACACAGTATATTATGTGAAATGAGAAGTTAAATTAAGTTTCTGAGAGTCTGAGAAAAGTTGCTAAGGTAAGAATGCCAGCATACTTGTCAGGCAAAAAACAATTGCAGTTCAACTGAAGACAAAAAATTCTTGTCTAATCTATCACACTGCCTTCTTGTAAAAGATCAAATATCATATTCTTGTTGATGTTGCAACTATTAGATACAATTTTATAAAATTATTTGGAGCTTTTTAGTTTTGAAATATTTTTATATTCAGCTACATGTTTAACTGCAATTCACTGGGAACAGGGTCCCCCTTTCCAGCATCCAATTGATTTATGCAGCAGATAGGACTTTCAGCATTGAAGAATAGTGTATAAAGGTGGTCAATAACTTCTAAAAAAATTGTAACAAAAAGGAAATCAGACAGAAATCTAGAACACATCCTACGCTGCAAGAGCCAAGCAAGTAATATTGATACACATGCTGAATTCATTCTGGGACTTCTATTAGTCTGCTTCTGAGAAAAACAGACAAAACAAAAACCATCACAACAAATACTCACAATGAATGACCTCTATAAAACAAGTTCATTAATAGAATACCGAGTCATTCTGCAGTTACAAGAACAAACAGAAAGAGAAATTATCTACCTGATTAATTGCAATAACAATAAACAAATTATTCAAATTTATTTTCCACAGAACATTTCTAAGAGGATCATGGAGGACTGTGACTGATGACAGGCACAAAAGAATCAAGTTGTTGCTTATCTTTCCTCTCACACTGACCTATGAGGAAGCAAGGAAACCCTCCTTCTAGACTAGAATTCCACATGCAGAGCTCTCATTTTCTTAGAATTATTAAGGCTCAAGGGAAACATCAGAAGAGGAGTTTGAACTCAAGTATCCATAGCAAAAATTGCATCAGCATTACAGCTTTTCAAAAGCAATTCATATTTCTTCTAAATTACTGATGTTCTAACAATCTAAGTGTGTGAACTGATATATTTTTCATTGTTTCTCACAAATAGACTGTACCAAACTAATTTGCAAAACTGGTGTTTTAAAAACCTAGTAAACAGAGACTGATATTCACATATATACAAGAAAAGGAAGGCTAGTCACATATAAACTGAATTGTCAATTTATATTATTTCTACAGATCCAAGCATGAAAACCTGGACTCAGTTGTGGTATTTACTGGAACCACAAATGCTTGAGCCACGTGGATCCCTGCTACAGAACTAGATAAAGTTATGAAAGGTCCATGAGCCAAGTGTCTCCAAGTTTTTTCCCACTCTGCAAATGCCAAACAAGCTGAGGAGGCAGAGGAAGATATTGAGAAAGCTAAAGCAAAGAATACACTTACTGCGAGTGCTGTCTCGTTTTCTCCAGAAAAATGATATGCTAGACTTAAGCAATAGGCTGCTTCTCCATGCATCTTTATATCACCTCCTAAAGAAAGGGTAAAAGGTAGAGTTACCAGCATGATCTGAACAAAATTGCATTGGTACAGACAGCTCTTGCAGGTTCTTAAACAAGATACAGTGTAGTAAGTTTTTCCCTTTCCTTACCCCCCCAATGTATCTCTTTCTGAAAACATACAGTAGTAATTAAAAATAAAGGCTATAGAGTTCACCAAGGAAGTTTAGCAAAGTCAGAGAAAATATCTTCCAGTAATAAAGTACAATCAAATTAACATGTGTGAGTTCTCTGTCATTAATTGTTTAATCATGGTCTTAAGTGACTTCACATTAGAAAATTATACTAGTCTCTCTATATATACTCAATATAAAATAAAAGTGGCTACAAATAGATAATAAACCTTCATATGTATAAACACAAAATGTATCTCAGCCCACACATTTTGCTAATGTGAATTTTGGTGAAACATCAAGACAGAACCACCAGTTCACCATTTTCATCTTATTCTCCTGTTTCTCTTCCTACCTCTGTTCTGCGATTCTGTAGTTTTTTTACTTTAGGTTTAAAAGTATTTATGCATATTAAGATAGAAAATTTTGTTTGCTTTTGATAAAAACCTATTTTTTTCAAGTATAAAGTAAGTATGTAGAGTGAAAAGGTAACTTTTCCAGCAGATAGTATCAGTCAAAAACTGCCAAATCAACAGTGACTAGCCAATCAAAATAAGTGACCTCAGCTTCCATCAGTGACTTCACTTTCTGATTATGGGTTTACAGTTGTACATTATTGTTCCCACAAGGTTGTCAGGTTTTTTTTTTGGAGATAAAGCTTTGACGAACCTAAAAGTTTCTTTGTAGTCAGCAAGAAGGCATTTCTGCTTCAGTGAGATCTGCAAGAGTGTTGATAGCATTTGTCTTTGAGTTTCATAGGAAATAATCACCCATTCAAAACCTTGACAATTTCTACTTTACTCTTGGGAAAATCATGGCCTACACATTGAATGAAGGAATAGGAAAGCATTGTTTTCCACCTACCTTCTTTGGCCATCTTTAAAGCTTTTATTAGCATTTTGATGGCCTCTTGGTGTTGTTTATTTTCCAGCATTTTGTCTGCTAGCAATGTATAAATTCTCCAGAGATGCTGACATGCCAGTGAAGTGTAAGTGCGGCCTGTCTCATCCTTCCAGGATGTGCCCTCTGTTAGCTCATAAAAGGTTTCAAGGTGCTCAGCAGCTTTCGTTATGTGACCTGAAAAATGTCATTCGTAATTAAAATCAGTGCAATCATCAAAAAATTGTTAAAGTTTGTTGTCTATAATAACTTTATTGTTATAAGTTGCAGCCAAACATTCCACAGATTTTTCAAGACTCTTCAATACATAACCCACAGACCACTGGAAAATAGAATCAAATTTCCCAGTACTCAGTAATGCTCTAATTTAAATGTGTTATATTTTTAATTAGCTTTCCTTTGTAAATTCCCAGTGTTGAAAGGGTGTGATTCCATGGATGCAAAGTCAGGATCTTCTAGAAAATAAATTTATTCTAGATTCATAAACCCTTTGTGGTTCTCATACATCAAATCACATTTATGCATAAATAATCACAACTGAAACCATTCCTCAAGTTTCTTTTTCCATAATGAAAACCTGTGGTGCAAGATTTGAAGTGTGGAGAAAAACTAAAAACCTTCATTCAAAGAAATTAATCAATGAAAAAAGGAATTATCATGCAAAGTAATTTATTCAGCAGTTATTGCAAGGCCAACTCTGGTGAGTTTATCTAACAGATTTACTGCAAGAGCATTAACCATTGATAGATTAATTACTGAGCCTGAAGTAATATACTCCAAGGTCTTCAAATGTAAGTTACTTAAACACTTTTAAGGCAAAGGAAAGTTTGAAGATAGAATTCAATTCATTTTCACATTCAAGTAGTTTTTCCTCTACCTTCAGCTGGATTTACCTCTGTGCATAAAAATCAATCTAGGAGATTTCCATACCTGCTGGACAATGAAAATTCAAAGCTCTTGGAAAGAACAGAAAAGCTTTTTCTCATACATAATGGGTATTGCTGGGAAGCAGGTAAGATAAGACTATTTACACTAAAAATAATTTTAAAGAAAGCATTCTAGTCACAATATCTTGTTTAGCAAAGACTCTTCTGTAGCAGGGAGAACTGTGAATGTGACCCTGCCTTCATAAGTGTGTATGTGATGGAGCAATCTTGTCCCATAGATCATCAATATATTGACTGTATTTCTATTAACAGCTGAAAAAACCCCATAAAATGGGTTCATTTATATGTTTGTAGTTTGCACCTCTTCTGAGATGGGATTCATAAGGAACTATTGCTGTTTGGCAGTCTTTTTTTACAGCGCTGAATTCAAACTGAAAAAGAACCAGGAAGCAGAAAAGTTGTTTCCCAGTCATAAGAAAGGAAAGGAGAAAAGCTTGGAGATGTATCTTCTTTAAGCATTCCTTGAGAAAATGAGGTTATCTCCCCAGGCCTCCAGCCAACCTAGAGGCAGCAGAACAGCTATGACAGATTTCTCTTATTAACTCAATTTAGATTTGTCTTTTGCATATGTTACCCCTTTATAACCATGCTTTCAACTTTGCAATATAAAACATAACTCATCTTTATTAGAATTAAATTTATTTTCATATTAAGTTTCTCTGATGATTAAAATGAGTTCAACTAAAACTGACAAGCACAAGAAGCTCCTCTTTCAAAGATGCAATGAATTAAATGAGTGTCATCGACAAATAATTTTATGGCTTTACAGCCTAAAATTCATGTAAGAATCCCAGAGGAGACAACAGGTGCTGAAGAGTGCAGTGCCAGGTGAAAAGGGAGTCAGCAGGCTTTATTCTGTTCCATTCTACCTAGGAACAGGTATTGGAGAGATGGCCCAACACAATGGGAAAACAGGAAAAATTCTATACATTCTTTCCAAAATATCACACGCTTGACATCAGACTGCACAATAGAAAGGCAAAGGGAAATTATCACAACCAGTACAAGCTGTTAACAGACTCCCTGACAGTAGATGTAACAGAGAATAGACACGTAGATTTGCTAAAGCCAGATGAAAACCCCTGTCCATTCTCAAGAGGCTTCCAATTTGAATTTTTGTCTATCCAGTTCAGCTAACTCCTTAGGGCACAGTCAACACTGAAGTCAACAGAATTCCAGCTATTCAAGTTGCTAAAGGCAGATTTAAGATATTGAAGAAACTCATGTTGGGTTTGTGACAAATGATTGAAAGTTGAGTTAAAATATAACATTAATAGGTAGAGCCAGCATTTTGTTCACTTGGTTTCTCATAAGCACATAGACTCTTCCTTGGAATTCTCCCCAAAGTTCATTAATAAATAGATTGTTCTTTTGAAAGGGTATTATCATACATTTGAGTCATTGGGATAAACTACATGTGCAATGGATTCTTTACTAGAATTTGATTCATGTGTTACTCAAAAACTTTCAGTAAGAATGGGAAGCAGCAAACAAACGAATGGTATCACCATGAAGCTGAACAGTATCTGAGTTTCTCCTGACACTGTAACATGATCACTTAACAGGACACATTGTTTAGGTAAATAAAACTTGCAATCTTAAGGACTATTGATCAGGTTGTTGAACTATCAGGTGTGGTGACTTCTACCAAGCTCCCTTCTTGCAGTATCCCCTTGAGAAAGTTTCTATCAGACTAGAAATGGAACTCATACCTTCCCCTACCCCCCACATTTCTCAGGAGCTGACCTAACCCTAAGAGCTGTGACCCGACACTCCTTATGCCAGACCTCAGCGAAATCTCTTTGGAAACAACCCACCTACATCAAGCTTCAAAATGATAAAGTAATATGATTTTTTGGTAATATTCAAATGGATCTATATTACATTTGGCCTCACTGAATTACCAAGAAAGATTACATAGTAAAATGTAAAACAATCTGTTCATAGAAATACTAAAAAGAAAGTGATTCACAGAAAGCCAAAACACCTGCTCATTTCCTTAACAAGGAAGAGATGGAATTCCTGACATGAAAGCCCTTACAAGGGAATTTGCTTACTGAAGACTCTTTCAAATAAAAAGAGCTATTTGGAGACTTCTCAAATTCATGGAAGGTAAAACATTTAAGACTTTGGAATTTATTCTTCCATGAAAATAAACTGAAATTCTTTGTTGCCACTGGCAAATGACACATCAGCTTATTTATTTAATCCATAATGCTTCTGTGAAACTCAAATGTTGTGGGAAAATAATATTTTCAGGGGGCCAGTGAGTTTACTCCCTGTCATGAGTCAGTTCAGCTGGAACTGATCAGGCCAGTGCATTCTAATTTTTAAACACTGAACTGCTGCAAGTGTTGCCTGCAGACATCCATAGAACACCACCTGAAAAACTAGAAAAAACATTAAAAGAAAGAAATTAGCCAATTGCAGAACATCGCTGAGAATAAGAGCATTTTTATCTTACTTAGGCAGTGAAAAGGCAGAGTTTTAAATTACTTTTATTATGAACTGAAAAAAAACGAAGACCAAAAAAAGCAAAATGAGAAGAAAAAACAATGGAGTAAGAAAATCACTTGAAACAGCTTGCAGAAATGTATTTTTATAGGTCTAGGAATTCAAAGAGAAAAGCAAGAAAGTGTTTCCAGGAAATCCATGTTTGAAAAATCTATTTGCAGAATGTTACACAAAGCAGTAAAGCTATTTTCAGTTGGCAACATTAATAGCAATTGCATATTTATTTTCACAGTGCCGTGTAGAAATTATCTTAGTGGATACCAAATGGACTTGGAGAATCTCTGATGTCTCTCTTCTCTTCTTATAAAAGGAATCAAAAACCAGAATGATAACTCTTACAACATATGTACTACCACTACCAAAATTTTACACTTTAATAATTTTTTATAGTTTAATATAACTCAGGGCATAACAAAGGAAATCCCATCAGCAACAGCTTAATCTTAAATATGGGAGGCTAACATTGTCACAATATAATTTTGGGAGTAGAAAATCAGTTTTAAATAATTATATATGAATATAAGAAATTCTGACAGATTTGTGCTACAGTTTTCACTGAATTGCTTCAAATAAAAAAAATTAAATCTACTCATTCAAGCAAAATAATTCAATGCAATGTTTTTAGATCATCAAAAAGTTCATTTATAATTCTCCTTCTTAAAACTCAATCCAAAAATACAGGTTTCTTATATCAAAATAGATACCAAACCAAAAGGGGTATATATGGAGACTACTATTTTGCCTTTTTTTTAAGTAGAAAGATTGACTAGATATTAACACAAATGGGTTTAAATGTGAAGCTGCCATAAAAGCAGGCACATAAATGTAATTCTCCCAGCCGCTATTTTGATGCACATTTTTGATTCCATGAATATTTTATGAAATGGCCCAAACTAAAGCCATATAACATTCCTGCATTACTGATGCTTGCGCCCGTAAGCTACAAACATTAGAGGCATGATTGAGTGCATTAAAATGAACTCATTCAGCAGTGCATTGATTACTTGAAGGAGGAAAAAAAAAAGTTACTCCCACTTAAGAAAACAGCACACAAACCTGAAGTTTTCAATACTGAAATTAGAGACTCAATTTTGAATAATGTGGTATTTAACAAATAAAGGCAGTGCAAAACTATCTAGAATTCTCTACATACATTCCTGACTTTAATTAGGTGAGATGTTAATTAGGTTCACAGATTGCTTCCAGTAGTGTACAGGTAATTTAAAATGTCACAATCTGCAAAATGCAGTGACTGACCTGCTCTAGCTCCATGCCTCAGCAATACTGAGAGCACCTAATGATTTCCTTTTCTATCAGCTCGCATATTTGCCAATGAAAATAATGCCACAGAAACAACTGCTCAAGAAAAGTGACAGGTCTGTTAGGTAACCTGCCCCAGCAGCACCACTAGAACCAGGAAGCACATTTAATTCTAAATTGCAAACAGTTGTTGAGGGCTTCAGAAAATATTCTGCTGTGGATTAAAACAACTTAAAGGTAAAATAAACTCTGTGTATATTATAGTATATACAGCATCTTTGGCCATCAGTTATTTCACTACACTATGAGAACACAAAATCTGGTTGAAGCATCAGCTAATGGTAACAAAACCCAAAAATGCCATTGTCTTTCAAAAGATAAATGCTTACATTCCAGTCTAACAGCTTGAACTACTTGTATTAAGCTCAGTTTCTCTGTTCAATTATGACAGCACTA